TGGAAGAAAATGGATGGAAGGATGGATGGATGGATGGATGGATGGATGGATGGATGGTGGCTTGAGATAACTTGGGTTGTAAATTAGTGTAACATAAATAAACATGCTTTTTAATCACCCTGAGAGGAACTGACCTGTGAGATCTTCATGTTGCTTTGTGTTTTCCAGCTTAACAACTTGGAGAAAGCTGTGGCAGCGTCTCACACGTTCCTAAAGAAAAACCCGAAGGATCCGTCTCTGACTAAAAACATGAACTACTACAAGACGTTGATGGATGTGGACGAGTACCTCATCGACCACGAAGAGCAGCCGTATGAAGTCAGTAGCTCCACGCTGCAGTAATTCATCACTAAGAAGCACTCTGCTCTGTAAAAATAACCCATATCTCTGCCTTCCAGAGCGTTTTCCTCAAGAGCGTGATGCTCTACAACAACGGAGACTTCAGCAGCAGCGCCAGAAACATGGAGCAGGCCATCACGCAGTTCTTTGAGATCTACGACCTCTGCTTGGCAGGCTGCGAAGGCTCGTACGAAATCTTAGAGTTCAAAGACTTTTATCCAACTCTGGCAGGTAAGAGCAGAGCAAGAAACAAAATAAGTTTTTTTTTTCCAGCATGTAGGCAACATAAGAGCGTTTATTTTTGTCGCAGATCTCTTCACCGACGTGTTGAAATGTAAAGTGAAGTGTGAGGAGCAGCTCACCCCCAGCGTCGGAGGTTTCTTCGTGGAGAAGTTTGTGGCCACCATGTATCACTACCTCCAGTTTTCATATTATAAATGTAAGAACGTTTGCAAAAAAGAAAATCACTGGATGAATGCTGATTCAGTTGTGATCCTGTTTCTCTTTATTCTTTTTCTTTCCCACCTCTTATAAAGCATGCTTCGCTCATTCAGGAATAAACGTAAGAACATTCGCAAAAAAACAGAATGAATGTCTATTCTGTCATGATCCGGTTTCTCTTTATTTTTTCTTTCCCACCTCTTATAAAGCATGCTTCAGTCAAACAGGAATAAACGTAAGAACATTCGCAAAAAAGAAAAAAAAAACACTTGATGAATGCCAATTCAGCCATGATCCTGTTTCTCTTTATTCTTTTTCTTTTCCTACCTTTTATAAAAAGTTCAACTCATTCGGGCATAAATGTAAGAATTTTCACATAAAAACCCAAAAAAAACAGAATGTCTATTCTGTCATGATCCGGTTTCTCTTTATTTTTTCTTTCCCACCTCTTATAAAGCATGCTTCGCTCATTCAGGAATAAACATAAGAACATTCGCAAAAAAAAAACGATGAATGCCAATTTAGCCATGATCCTGTTTCTCTTTATTCTTCTTCTTTTCCTACCTTTTTATAAAACATGTTCGACTCATTCGGGTATAAATGTAAGAAGTTTCACAAAAAAAGAAAAAACAATGAATGTCTATTCTGTCGTGATCCGGTTTCTCTTTATTCTTTTTCTTTCCCACCTCTTATAAAGCATGCTTCACTCATTCAGGTATAAATGTAAGAACATTCACAAAAACTGTCACTGGAAGAATTCCAGTTCAGCTGAGATCCTGTTTCTCTTTATTCTTTTTCTTTTGTATCTTTTTAAAAACATGCTCAACTCATTCAGGACATTTTTTAACTTTATTCTTTTTTTTTTTTTAGTGAACGACGTAAAGAACGCTGCTCCCTGTGCAGCCAGCTACATGCTGTTTGACCCCAGCGACCAGGTGATGCAGCAAAACGTCGCCTATTATCGGTTCTACCGGCAGCAGTGGGGCCTCGAGGAGGAGGACTTTCAGCCTCGACCTGTAAGTAAAATGGGAGCGTCGCAAATCCTGATCCATCTTCTGCTGCAGGACTCTGCAGACGCAGCGGAAGGTTTTCAAACTCCAAGCAGAGCAACAAACAAAACTGGCGCTGGAGTTGTTGTTAACGCAATCTCAGGGTGGTGATTAGACACTTATATAGTCGTGTAAAAACACGGCTTATTTTCCCTTTTTTACACGGTGTAAATTTGGCTGCAGCTGTTGTGTACGGATTTGCAGCGGCACACAAACCTCTCTGGCCAGTGAAATATATCTGGCAACGCTGTAAATACTTTAAGGCTTTTCAAACCGAGCAGTGGGGSGAAATAAAGCCAACAACAAAACAGCAGCCCAGGCTTGTGGCTGAGCGCAGAMTATTGTTTTGTTTACAGCTGCTGTGCGAATCGACTCGAGCTCTGATGTCTTTTATTTTCTCAGGAGGCTCTGAGGTATTTTAACCAGACGACCAAACAAAAAGAGATGCTCCAGTTTGCACTGAACTACCTACAAACAGAGGACGAGGTACGTTTCTTTTATTGGTGCACTTTGGTTTTTGAGCAGTACAGTGGAAATGTGAGCAATTATTCCAGAGAAGTCCTTCAATATACAAGGTATAACGTTTAGCTTAGCATTAAAATGAACCCCKAAATGCAAAAGGTTGTATTAATTTCTTAAAGTTTCTGATTTTAAATGGAAAGAAACAATTCCTTGTAGCTGCATCGAAGTCCCCATAAAATGATTTTTTTTCTACTCTTTAACTTAATGATATTTTTAAAGTCAGAAAATGGTTTATAAAAAGATCAGAAACCTTTGGAACCAGACAAAAAAWTTTCTAGATTTTTTCTGCGCAAAGCAGAAAAAAACATTTATTTTGAGATTTTCCTTTCTTAAWTAAATGAAGTATTTTTCTTGCTTTTGAAGTTTATTATATCACAAAAGCATTTTTGTGAGTTTTTCAAAGCACCGGGATAATCTGATATTCTGACGGATGTGCTTGTTTTGAAACCTCCCGGTGCAGAGGAGATTTCAGGGCCAGACATTTCCGCAGATAACATCTAATCTCCAACACGAGCAGACGGATGAACGAGCTCGAGGAGGAAGACTTTCAGAATGAATGCAAAGTGAAAAACGAGGGAGAAAAGTTTGGTTAAAGGGGGTGGGAGGCTGGTGGGGGGGGGCTGTGTTTTCCTCCAGCAGCRTGTGGTATGTGGCGGGGAGGTGTCAGCCACTGAAACTGTGCCACATCCATTTAACCCGGGTCAGCCCCTCCCAGCTCCCAACACGCTGCCTGGACCTGAAAGGAGAGAGAAAAATCTGAATTACAGAGCGCAGAGGTGACAGATTTATAGGCACGAGGAGGAAGACGGGCGTGTTTTCAGAGGACCGTGTCTTTTTCTTTGACGTTTCAGGACGTGGTGAGTCCAGAAGACGTGGCCAGCGTGCGCTCGGATCACCCTGACGTGGAGTTCGAGGGGATCGGSGACTACGAGGAGGCCTTCCTGGCTGAATGGTGGCAGGAGCCCAAAACCAAATGGGACACCGGCGAGATGTCCGACTGACGAGTGTTCACGGGGCCAACGTGACCCCTCTGAAAACAAACCAAAGACCTTTCAACAAACACAAATCTACATTCCCAACAGTATTCTGTGGAAAACAGCACAACAGAGAAATAAAAGGAGCGACCTGTCCGCCATGTTAGAGGTCGACGTGTTCACTCTCCGGCCTTCTAAAAACTCTTTTCTTGTCGATCACTGACCTGTGTGCTGACCCACGTTCATGGCTTTTCTACAAGTTTTTTTATTATTTAAAGAAAGTTGAATCCATTTGAATTAAGTGCTTTGTCAGCTGCTCGTCTTTCGTGATGAGGTGCTTTTAATAAAATATTATTTTAATATATATATTTTTTGTTTGTTTTTTACATCTCCATGCAAATCGTAATGACACGGTGCGATCTGTTATGGCACATAAAGTGTGTCGGGGATGACTCTCGGCTACTACCACACCAAAGTTTAGCTCGGTATCTGTAAAGTTTGAGTTCCATTTTAGTACTTGATAATCTTTCGGTGTGGTGGCCATCTTGAAACCAAAAGTAATTTATCTAGTGACTGCCGGGGGTGGGTAAGTAATAAAAAAAAAAACTTAATTTCACTAGGGATGCACAGATATGAAAATTTCAGGTGATATCGATATCCGATATACTGTAGTTATTGCTGTAATGGCCGATAACCAATATTTACCGATATTACACAAACACTCAAATTATATTATACATATACGCACAAACACACTTGGTCTGTTTTTGATACCGTAAATAAACAACCAGACCTCTGACATGGCTCTACTTCAGTTATTCCTGTTGCACAGCGTCAGTATCACTGTCATGATCAAACAGATGCTGCTCAACCAACCATCTCCCCTCCCAAAACACAAACGCAAAGCTAAAAAGTGGGAAATCAATATCGACCCAGTTTTACATATGGAACCGATACGATATTCTAAAAAATGAACAATATCGGTCGATACCGATATGAATGCAGAAATATCATGCATCCCTAAATTTCACAAATAAAAGTTTAAGTAAAAGTCATAAAACTGCTCACATTAATCAAAAAAGTAAAAGTACTTTTACACGTCAGATTCCACTGTGAAAAATGTCTTTTATCTCCATGAGTTTTTGGCCGTTTGACTCTTTATAAACTGCAACTTCCTGGTACAACAGTCGGCTACTGGAGATGAGTCATTTTTTGTTTTTTGAAGCGAGTGGTTGAAACAAAATGCAGCGTTTGAGCACTTTCAGCACAAACACTCCCACAAACTTCTGACCAAACACACAACAAAGTTCTTATGGAGGGGGGTGAAAAGTTCGACCCGCGGGTTTTGTCAAGAGGCTGCCGAAATGTCGACAATGCGAACAGAATGATGCAATTTTCGTCATGAAACTGCGACAGTTCGGCCTGAATTTGGCAGTTTGGATGCAACATGCTGCAGTGTTAAGTGTGATTCTGTTCAGGTGTGACAGAGGGGCATCCGTTCTGTGCTTAGTTTAGAGCCCAGGAAGAACAAAATAGCAAAATGGATGTAAACAAATAAATGACTTCTAATGAGGGGAAACTTCACTCAAAAAATAGATCGTTGGATTTACTTAACCAAATTATATTGACAATTTCCACTCAGCTGACTTGAGTAAGTGTAAAGCAACATATACTTTAAAACATAAATGTAAAAGTTGCTTTACAACTCAGCTGAATTGAAATTGTTGACGTAATTTGGCTAAGTAAATCCAACAATGTTTTTTTAGTGTAAGTTTGTCATGGGGGCTTTAGTTGAGCCCATATAACTCAGCCTACAAAGACAGTCTGCAACCAGTTGCCTAAATATAATCTAGGATTTTAGTGGCTGCAGTTACAATAAAAAAAAAACACTTATAAAATCTTACGATACACCTCTGCATTCAAGGTCATCAGATTCCAACAGAAACTCTGAGTCAGCACAGGTTCTGTGATTTTATTTTTAAAATATTTTATTTTTTAATAATTTCAATCCGTTAACAAGCATTAACTCCTCCTTCCATGGTTTCAGTCCAAAAAAGGATTGTGCCTAAAAAATATGGTGTAGGATGCATCTTATTGTTCTTACTTCATGGTTTTCCTTTGATTGTTTTTTTATTATGTACATTTGATTTGATTTGATTTGATTTATTTAACAGGAAAAGATTATTAAAAATCAAGCCTGACTCAGCATAATTGCTGTTTTACAGCAGGTTCCTGTTCTGCAGCACATAAAACACTCAGAATTACAGCACCACAATCACATCATTATAAACCATAGACACAAAGACAAACAAGCATACCAAATTTCAGGAAGGCAGCATTTGCAAAATAGGACGTCTAAATATGAGCACAACAAAAAGTGTCCAGCAG